GTTTGCACAAAGAACATATACAACAACACACAGAATATTCCATTAAACAATGGAAGAAATGGGACAGTAATCTATGCCCCCTTGCCTTTTTCCATGACTCTAGCTTTCAGTGAGTGATAATAAACAAGAACAAACAAGTTGATACTTGATATTGCTCCCCATAGGGTTTTTACCTTTTTCACAAACTGGTAATTCAGGATCCCAGATGTTATTGGCTTTGCAACGAACCTGACTTCTGCCATTCAAAGTAAATCCATTATCACACTTGAATGTCACAGTGTCATTGTAGAAATACGGGGCTTCCTTGCCAAACATCTTGTATCCATTTGCAATGTGGACATGTGAGCACTGAACAGCAGGGAGGGAGAGTTTACAGAGAGGAGCAGGGCCACTCCAGATGCCTGTCTCTTGATCATTGCTTGTACAACGGATGGTGCTCTCCCCAGTGAGGATGAAATCCACTTCTCTCTCTGGCCCGGGGTTACATGTGTACGTGACTGTGGTTCCATATAGAACATCTTCTGAGGAACTCCCTGTGTGTGCTCCATTGTAGATAACAGGGGGTGGTGGGCAGGTGATTTCTGGAGAGATGAGAAGTTACTATACAATTCTGTTCCAGTATTAAACCCCAAAGAAGAGAAATGAAGCTGGTTATGAGTTATCAGGTTTCTTAGAGGACATGAGTGAGTCATGATGATATGTGTTACATCAAAGCTCACTGCATATGTAAAATCCAACTTAAAAGACTTCATAGGAAAGATACTTGTAAGTCTTTGTTAATAGTGAACATGTACATTGATATCAGATTGTGAGGCAGTAAAGTCTGGTGGTAAACTATTAATTTAAAAACAGAATTATTTCTTTTTAATAACTATTAGGTCAATAAAAAGCACAGGGAAATAGAATTAAGCTTTTTTGAGTATCATCTTTGTGCTGAGGTGATATGATAGGTTAGCCAAGAATACTAACTTGATTGAACATCTACTTTTTGACAGGTAATTTTCTCAGCTACAGGGTAGGAATAGTACCATCTAATTATAATAACTTTGAGATCTGCAGCCTTATGCTAAGGTTGTAGATAAGAGGCTAGAGATCAGAAAAGTTACACAAATTGCCCCAAGTCATGTGAAGGAACAGAAATAGAATCTGAGTTTGGATCCCAACCAGTTCCCTTTCTCTCCCCTAAACTACAGTGTGCCCAACATTAAGGATGGCAGCTCATATATTCACTGACCTCATTATTAGTATTCTCCTGTATCATAAAAAGAGAATCAGTAACTAAATTGCTATGTTTTGAAGTAGAAAGAGGTGACAACAGAAAGCAAATCTTGTGCAGCTGTAACTATTGACAAAGTGAATAGAACAAAATCTAATATTCTTTTTCCCATAACATGGAATCTCACAGGAAATGCAAACAGCTCACATTATTTTAGATCCTCTGTTACTTTTTTACTCACCTTTACAAAGACGAATCTCCATAAACCAAGGAATTGTGCCTTGACACAGCTGATAAACACCCTCACTTAACCGGTACCTAGAGACAAAGAGCCATGATAGTTTACCATCTGGTAACCACTAACCTAAGCGAGAGCTGTTGGCTCACAAGCAGACTCATTACTCTTAGGACAAA